TATTTATGCTGGTTTCAGTGTCCTGGGGTGACCTTTTGACAAAAAATAAAATTTTTAATCAAGCCCCCCCCCCTCGTCAATGGTGTCCCTCTTTACCAATCTGAAAATCTGGTCACCTTACTCTATAGGCATGGGGATTCCCCCCCTCCCCCCCAAAAACACCCTAATTGCAGTGTGGAGATTTTTTATTTTAGTGAAGTATGTCGATCATATGAAAACAAAACGGGTTCTTCCTTCTCCAGTTGAAATACCCTTCTCTATATTATTATTTCCCTTCTAGATTTTTACATGAAGATATCTGATGGAATTGTCAGAATTACAGCTAATTGTCGGTTGATTTTTCCCGATAAAAATCAGCTTATTTTGTTTGAGTGTCATTTGATCAGCATTGAGGCAAACATGGCAGAACCATTTAATTTTGAAACAATACCCAGGAAATTTTCAGACAATTTATCAGTAATAAGTAGTATATCTGATTGTATAGAATTTTTTGTGTGCATTCCCCACTGAAATGAATGGGAATTGTATAAAAGCAGCACTGGGCTTTGGTTGAATTAGCCTTTGGCAGAATGCTAATTTGTGTTTCTGAAAAATAATGTGTAAAGTAGGGAAAAAGTCTCCCCCCCCCCCCATAGCAGTCATTGCCTTTTGTGTAAAAAAAAAAGCATCAGTGCATGGATTCAAGCTTTCCATATTAAACAAAACAAATCTGTAACTTATAATGCTTATATTAAATATTTTATTGTTAAATATTATACATTAAATATATTAAATATTAAATGTTCTACAGTAATAATATCAAGAGTTCACAGCATTCAAATTTAGGTCAGCATTTGGGAGTTCAAATCCCTAGTGCCGTGTAATGGAGTGAGCTCCCATTACTTGTCCCAGCTTCTGCCAACCTAGCAGTTCGAAAGCACATAAAAATGCAAGTAGAAAAATAGAGACCACCTTTGGTGGGAAGGTAACAGCGTTCCGTGCGACTTCAGCATTTAGTCTTGCTGGCCACATGACCACGGAGACATCTTCGGACAGTGCTGCTCTTCAGCTTTGAAACAGTGATGAGCACCGCCCCCTAGAGTCAGGAACGACTAGCACATATGTGCAAGGGGAACCTTTACCTTTACCTTATGACTCATATCCACTTCCATCTACCAGAAAAAAATGAATGAAAAACACAGTACAGGCCACTGTCCATCTAATATACAATAGAATCTGGCCAGTTCGTTTGCTAATAAAAATGCAAGGTTTTCCCTCAGCATTTTCCTGTGGATTAGCCATAATTGGGAGTAATTAATCTAATGTCTACAGATGGCTACAAATGTTGCTTTGGATGCTTTCAAAGATTTGAGAGGAGCTCATGCTTACTTCAAAAAGCATTCATTTCAGCCTTTTTGATCTAGTCCTTAAATTGGTCTTTCTGGTTTTTTTCCTCCTCTCTGTCTTTTTAGCCAATTATAGTTATCAATTGAAGTTGAGCAAGGTTGAAATACTGACACAGGCACAAATGTATGCATCTCTCCTTCATGCACGTAAACATTTAACTGTGAGGAAGGCATCACCTTCATTGTTCCAGGGGGAGTTTGCATTTTACACTGCTTTTATTTACTTTGTCTAAGTAAATAAATAATTTAGGATTGTTCATTTTTAGATAAATGAAATAAAAATATTATTTTGACAAACCAACACCCTCCAGCCATAAACTGGTACAATGTGTTGTGTATTTTAGAGATTTATTTGGTGATCTCACCTGAGTTCCACCTGGTGTTGTGATTCAGATGCTCTTCCCCCCCATAATGTGGTACCAATCCCTTTGTAAATTTGTGTGAGAGAGAGATTTGAGATTTATTAGATTTATATGCCGCCCTTCTCCACAGGACTCAGGGCGGCGTACAACAATTAAAAGAAACACATGATATAAAAGTTTTTAAAAAATTAAATGGAATATCCCAAACCCAATTAAAATTGACAATACATTTTTTTAAAAAAATTCAAATTAAAATTAACAGTGATCAATACTGTATTTTGTTTTGTTCAGGCCAGGCTGGCTTGCTGGAAAAGCCAACTTTTTAGGGTGTGTCGGAAGGACCGGAGGTCGGGGATTGTATGAAGCTCCGGGGGCAGCTCATTCCAGAGGGAAGGCGCTCCCACAGAGAAGGCTCTCCCCCTGGGGGTCACTAGCCGACACTGTCTGGCCGACGGCACCCTGAGGAGGCAACTCTGTGGGATCGCACTGGACGATGGGAGGCTACCGGTGGCAGTAGGTGATCTCACACTTACCCTGGGCCTAAGCCATGGAGGTGAGAGTGTTTTCATGCCAACATGTCCTTTTCTACTGCTGGCTCTATCAGGTGTGTCAAATTCAAGGCCTAGGGCCCAGATCCGGCCCATGGGATGCTTAGACCTGGCCTGTGGGACCACCCTGGAAACAGTGAGGGAGGGCCATCTGGCACTCCTGAACTCTGTTTTCGCTGGCAGAGGATTGCAGGAGGCCTTCACAGCCAGAAACGGAGCTTGGGAGCCCATTTTTGCTGGCAGAGCGCTCAGGCTGCCACAGGTGCCCCCGACATGAGTGACATTGAGCAGGCCACACTCACTCTGGCCACCCACTCCCCCCAAGGTCAAACATCACCCTGATGTGGCCCTCAATGAAATCGACACCCCTGCTCTAGATGAAGATCGTCCTTAGGGTTGACATTTCCAGGTTAGTTCCTTGTGTTTGGATTCTGGTGACATTTATTCTTATTTGAATACTCATGAAACCAGCACTGAGGCTTTAAGTAATAACTTGTAGCCATAACTGACCAATAACTTAGCCATAACTGACTAACATAGAGCAGAGTAAGCGTGACCATGACCCGTCAAAAGCGCGGACGACAAAAGCGCGATCGACAAAATCGCGCCTTTGACGTCATCATAGCGCAACGAAAAAGATCGAAAAATTCAAATAAAAATTAATAAAAATTAAATTAAAGCAAGCCGATTCACATAAAGGTAAGGGTTAGGTTTAGGGTTAGGTTTAGGGTTAGGTTAAGGGTTAGGGTTAGCTTTAGAGCGTTAGCGTTAGGGTTAGGTTAAGGGTTAGCGTTAGGTTTTTTGTTACTTTAACGGTTAGGTTTAGGGTTAGGTTAAGAGTTAGGTTTAGGGTTAGGTTTAGGGTTAGGTTTGGGGGGCTTAGGGTAAGGTTTTCGCTTTATTTTTACATTTTTCGAACTTTTTCGTCGCGCTGTGATGACGTCACAGCGCGCTTTTGTCGAGTGCGATTTTGTCCTACGCGCTTTTGTGGTGGAACCAAGCGTGACAGTCCCTGCTGTAAAGGTGAAATAATGGATATAATTATATCAGAAGGGTATAGTTGGTAGTAGTATCTCAGATGTGTAAGAGTCTCCTAGAGGTTTGCTTGGTATGTTTCTAATGTGTTTAAAAATATATAGACTTTTAAGAGGACTCATCTTTCTTATTTTTTAAGCATTCAAAGGCTGAAGCTTTTTCATTTCAAAACAAACAGATGCCTAAGCCTGTGTTTTACTTATTTCTTTCCCAACCCAACAACATATTGGAAAGAAATTATATAGAAGGGTTCAAGATTGTTTATGATCATCTGTCAGCAGGACGATTATCCAAAACCCGAATAGATCAGGAAGGGGACTGATTGACAGAGGTGAGATCAATTTTGAAATGGCTGAATTACACAAGGAACTGTACAGGGAAAACTTTCTCCAAATTTCCCTAATAAATCCCTTTGGCAATTAAGCAGTGGTTTCAAATGTTGGTGACTGCTCCATCCTGAGCTCTCTTTGTGCCGGAATGGGACACCTTGCTGCAGCCAACTTGCTGCAACCAACTCATCATGATCAACTTGGTACGACCAAGCAGCCAATTTACCGTGGGGTAACTCACCATGGCCAACTCACTGCAGCAAAACTCACTGTGGGACAATTTAACAATTCAATGTATTTAAAATGAATACAAATTATTTTTTGTCCTTCACATTTCATTCTGTCCCTCCTTTTGCATCCTTTCTTTAAGGATTCTATTCCACCATTTCTTTGATATTAGTGTAACTCTTCTCCCGTGGCAAGTTGTCCCGTGGTGAACTGGCCATGGCGAGTGGTCCGGCGGCAAATTGGCTGTGGTAATTTGGCCCTGGTGAGTTGTCTGTGGCGAGTTGGCCGCAGGGAATTGACATAGACCCCTTTGTGCTGAGCATATGCTGCCCAACCTTGTACTTCCTAGTGTCTGCATTGATTGATTGATTATGTGTCATCAAGTCTGTGTTGACACTCAGCAGCCATATTGATGGATTTTCTCCAGGACTATTCACACCCCTCTCCCCAATCTAGTCCTTCTGGTCTTGTAAAGGATGACTCCCTGCCTCTGTAATTGAGTCCCCATGCCTACATAGAGATATTCATTTATTAAATACTATTGTTTTGTTTATTAAACCTATTCCTATATTGTCATGATGAAAGAAAAAGTTTCAGCAGCTTACAGAAAAAGCATGTTCACATGCTTTACAGTTGTTCCCTGGCCCTTTTTAAAAAAGTAATCAATCTAGCCTTCCAGCTGTATTGTTCAGCTAGTACTCCTCAGCCAGTGTTACTTCAAGCTGGAAGGTCTCCATCTTCCATTCTGAAGCAGCCCAGCTACAAATATAGAAAAGGAAGCATAGCATAGCTGTTGAATCTTCAGATAATACCAGTTACTTCACTTTTGAGAAATATAGTTCCACCAGGACTTTCATGCCAAGCTCTTAAAAAAACAAACAAAAAACAGTTGCCTGTCATTTTCTTGTGCTTCCTCTTATCCAGGTATCTCAGGCAGCTGCAGAGCTTCAGCAGTATTGTATGCAGAACGCTTGCAAAGATGCTTTGCTTGTTGGAGTTCCAGCTGGAAGCAACCCATTTCGAGAGCCCAGGTCCTGTGCGTTGCTCTGAAGACGGGTAGGTATAAGTCCATGGCTTTGTCAAATACTGCTCTCTCTCTCTCACTAATATAGCAATAGCAATTCGCTTATATATTGCTTCACAGTGCTTCATAGCCCTCTCTAAGTGGTTTACAGAGTCCACATATTGCCCCCAACAATCTCGGTCCACATTTTACTGACCTGGAAAGAATAGAAGGCTAAGTCAACCTTAAGCCTGGTGAGACTTGAACTGCCAAACTGTTGGCACTTGGTAATCAGCAGAAGTAACCTGCAATATTGCATTCTAACGACTGCACCACCACGGCTCTTGTTATATTATATTTATGGAGTTGATTTGCACAAATTTGGGGACTTTTGTGCTACATCCCTTTAATTTTTTCCTAAAAACATGAGCTAACAATAAGGATAATGAAAACCAAGTATTCGCTTTATTCTATACATAAAGGAATAACGAGAGTGCAGAGTGTCTATTTTTCTGCTGAGTAGTTCTCCTTTACATATGAATTGTGTGGAGTAAAGTAACATTTATACAGTAACTAAATTTTGCTACTCTAATGTAATCTTATTTATGGAATCTTGAAGGAGAGCAGTTTTTAATAAAATATGTTTTTTTCTCCATGTTTCAGGGAAGGTTTCCTGAAAATCCTCAAGTACAAGAAGAATCCCAGCGGTCTTCCGTGTTTTCCAAACCGACAGTTTCTTTATGTAGGGCTTAAACAGTTTCTTTAGATATTTATTAGTCTGCTTGACTGTCTTAGTAAATGGTTAAATCTTTTGCTAATGTAAAGCATTTTATAAGGAAACGTTTTTCCTTTTGTAATTGATTCAATATCCTTTCTTTAATTCTCTGAGGTGTTTACATTTAGAAAAGGACAATGCCAATGATGTGTTTCTATTGTGCCTGAATGAAACACGCGCCAGGTACTTCCCTATTATCGGCTTTCTATTTTCTACTCAGAGATGTTTTCAAGCTGTTTTGATCCAGGCAAAGTTGGCCACTTAAGGCTACAGTTTTACACACATTTGTTACTTTTGAATCAACGTGAAATATACTAGGAACTATAGCTCCTAGTTAGTGTTACAGAATTTCTAAAATTGGAGCTCCCTAAAAAATACCTTGCATTAGTTGGAGTATATCCAGCTTGTTAAAAAGAAAAGTGCTTCTCTGTTCCAGTTGGTTGAAATGAAGAAGATGCACTTCATATTTAAAGGCATTTACTATAGCTCCCTTGAGTGCCCAAGCCCCAATTTTACTAAGAAATATAATCTTGCTGTTCAGCTTTCCAGTGGATTAGGAACAGTGGTGGGCTCCTGCCAGTTTAACAGCCGGTTTGGTGATCATGCGCTCTGCGCGTGCACGCAGTTTTAAGAATACTTAACTTCTGCATTACTGCTGGGGAGTAACACAGCTGAGGCGCAGCAATCTGCTCTGCCACGTGAATCAACTGAGAAGATATAGGTCAGTATAGCGTGCAGGGGGGCAGGCAGGCCCACCTGATCATCTGAGTGAACTGGTTCACCCCCAGCTGACCGTTGGAGCTACCAGTTTGCCTGAACCGGTCCAAACTGGTACAATCCCGCCCCTGATTAGGAAGGACAGTAATGTATTCGGAGGGTTGAGAGGTACAAGAAGAACCACATCATAAATCACTTTCCCATTTAAGCTGTGCACAGTCACCCATTTTGCAGCTAAATAGAACTGGGAACTGCCAAGGATTGATAAACCACTCCTCATGCCAGTATGCAAGAGGGGAGGATTGTGCAGTGAGATTAAGGTGCAGGGAGGAGAGATTGAAGAGCTTAGTTCACTGAGATCAGGAAGGAAGAGTAGGAGAGGACCCACGAACTTTGGCCAAGTCTACTAATCACATGGCTCCTGACCCTTTAGTACATACAGTCCTTGGGCCTGCATATTCACTACCGAAGATCTCTTCTTTGTCTCTGTGCTTTCACATAAAATAGTTACCTTGCAGAAAAAGCCAGCTATTTGAGACATTCCAATGTCACAGACTCCAAAGAATTTTAAACCCTGCCAGATGTCTGCAAGCCTTAGGAAAGGAAAGGAAAATTGGCCTTTTCCCCACCCTCTATTTTTATTTTTAACCATTCCCTTCTCATGGATGAAAAGATGCTACAGTACAGGAGAGAAAACACTTTACGTAGAACAGGATGAATTTGGACATGTATTAAAAGAGTGTGAAAAGAAACTTAAGAATCAATCAATTTATACTGGATATCTGCATCAAGATGCTTCATTTCTTTGCTGATGTTGTCTCCTGCTGAAGTTACAAAATCTATTACTCAGTTTCAGAGAGGGACAAATAAATTTAGGCAATCTACAGGCAAAATTTTCCTAGCATTTGCAATATTATTGGAACAATTCACCTTTTTTCGTGGGTCAGGTATCTTTGATTTTGGATTACCAAGCACTTTTATACACGCTGTTTACTTTTTAAAAGAATGTTCTTTTTGGTTTGTATTAATATATTAAAAGCTTTAAAAAATATTTTCTTAATCCTGGGATTTTTTTTATCGCACGAAAACCCATTTAATGGGGATAGGAGTGGGGTTTGAAGAATCTGACCCATGTTAGAAAAATAGAAAAGATCGCATCCGTCTCCACTACCTCCAATACATCCGTGACAAAAGTTAACAGCCTGCCAAGAAATTACTATTCTGCCCGTAGATGATGATGTCAGTAATTTGCAGAGCTCACAAAGAGTATTCCCTTGTATCCAGCCCACAGGAACTTTCATATAGGTAGTTCTCGACTTACAACAGGTTGCTTACTGACTGAAGTTACAATGGACCACCCGCGGATTACTTACAAACTGGTTTCAAAATTCCAACCTCCAAAGGGAGGCTCCCCTCCCTTTGATCATGTGATCACATTTTACAGTTGCAAGAAAAAGTATATGAACCCCTTGGGATTATGTGGAGTTTTGTATGAATTGGTCATAAAATGTGCTCTGACCTTCATCTAAGTCACAACAATAGAAAAACACAGTCTGCTGAAAATAATACTACACAAACATTAGATGTTGCCATGGTTTAATTGCACATACCATGTAAACATTCACAGTGCAGGGAGGAAAAAGTATGTGAGCCCCTAGCCTA